TGTGGAGTTGCTTTTGGGGTGATGAAAATATTCTGAAATTGTACAGTAGTGATGTTTGCAAAACTCAACGAGCATACTAAAAACCGTTAGATTGCGCGCTTTACAAGGGTGAGCTTAGCGGCTTGTGAATTATTTCTCAATAAAGACGTTGTTTTAAAAAGAGCCTGACTCGGGCTGCCTCTTCGTAAATCCTAGCTGCTATTATTATTATTGATGTGCCAGCGACAACTACTCTTAAAATGTTTTATGATGGTTTAATCTTTTACCTCTTTTGTCGTGTTTCCCCGCCGTGGTTACGAGTTCCCTTTGGGACGGGAACCAGGGGCAGGATGTTTGTGCATGTCGAGCCCAGGGCCTCGCACATAGCAGGGGGATGACGAACATTTGTTTTTACTGCACCTGAGTAGTTCACACGGAAATGACTTGTTGAGAATAAGCTGTGCGGTGCTCCTGTGTTAACTAATACTGCTGCCGTGTCTGCTTAGCAAACATCCATGAGGTAGGATGTTACTTTTACCCATGAGCTCCTCCACAATAAAAAAAGGACTGAAATGAAATTTCATGCCAACTACATTTCCAACTTATGATTGACAGCATGATATTAAGTCCAAAAGTCCTTTTCCAGGAAATTCAATTAGCAATTGAACACCAAACTAGCCAGGATAATTCGTGTTTTCTAATCATTATCTTATTACAGGTTAGTCGAAAGCCATGCGCCGCTGTCCTGCTCACCTGAGCGCAGTAGGAGAAGTCAGAATAAGAACAACATTAAGCGGCATCATTGCCTGGTGCACCATTGCTTCAGAGATTAAAAACTGAATTTCCAGAAGGATAAAAGTGTATCTTGAGGAAATATAGGACTCTTGAGTTTTCATTTTGAAAGCAAACAAAGTCAACTTAAAATTTCAACAGATTCCTCTCTGTTTCCATTCCAGGAAAAAAAAAAAAAGAACAGGACTTTAGATTTTAAAGGAAGGCCGCTGGTTTTCAAGGCAGTCGTTGGGCCTCTTGCTTTTCTAATTCTGCGTCCATCATGCTCCTCCCTGCTCTGGGCCCCTCATCCCTGTTCTGGGAACCTTACCCCTCTCAAAACAGTGCGGAGGGAGGCAGGTGAGCATGGAGGTTAAGAAAGCCCGGCCCTGGCCACGGGTCAGGACTGGGTCCCCAGCTCTGCCACCTGCGCACCACGGCCAGAGCAGCAGCCGTGTGAGCATCTGAGGGGCAGTAAATGCTACGAGTGCAGCCCAGAGCCGGGGGCCGAGGAGGAACACCATAGGGCGGCCCTTGCCACCCCCCAAACCCCTTTCCTGCCCCAGAACTTGGCTTAGCCCTTCATGATGGCTGGTCCAGCGGCTCCACACCCTCCTCCTGTCCCTCTAGGAAAGGAACCCACAGTCTTTATCTTCCCAAACATAGGAGACTCTTCTGATCTTTCTCCCCTATTCTACCAAGGGGAACAGAGCTCCATATTCAATGTGTGCTGCATTTAAATTCCATGCTCTGAGATCTTCCAATTCCCAAGTTTGCAACTAAATATCTATGACATTCAACTTAAAACAAATTACATCCACTTATCTGACTCGGGGCCAGTAAGGGCTGTGAGAACATCAAAATTGTACATCTCAGAAACCCTGAATGCTTGAATTTTGTGTCCGCTCTTGTTTCCAGCAATCTTTAGGGCTAAATGATTAATTATACCTAAGACAGTCCAAAGCAATTATTTAATTGGGCTGTATTATAGGCTGCCAGTCGTTTGGAGCAAAGGAAAGGCCTTTACCCTGGTTTCTCAACATCTGGCCTTTGGATGACTCAAAAGATAAAAGGAGATATGAGAACATTTTTATGACTAACAATTTCTAGAAATTTTCCACTAAGTAGAAAAACTTTTTCAGCAATTTGTTCTTCATGATTAGAACGTGGTGACATGTCTTACTGTAAATGTTCAGATTATTTAGATTCAATGCAGAACAGAAAATGTTGCAATAGGAAATGACATGGCGCTATTTTCTTTTTAGGGCAGGAAGGTCAGTTGTGCTCATTTCTACTTTCTCCTTGACTATTTTTCAAAGTTCTCTGTCTTAAGCTTTTTAAAAATCAACTTTAGTAAACAAAAATGCCCCATTACCCATTCTGAAGTTAGAAATAAGTTTTATTTTGTAAAGATCATCTCAAAGGAAGAGCTACAAGCCACCCCACAGAGTTGGCGACAAAAGTCGTGCTTGAATGATCCACTTGGAGATACCCACAGACACTAGTTGGGAGGAAGACAGCAGCTACATGTAATGACTTTTAATCAATCTGGCCTTTAGATGACTTAAAATATAAAAGGAGATATGAGACCATTCCTATGATGAAGTAACAATTTCTAGAAAGTTTGGATTTGAAAATATTTTAAAATTCTTCAGTTACGCCAAACCACGTTGGGCTCCCCCATCTCTAAAGAGTTCAGTGTCTTGACTTCTGATCGTGGGCAGCTTAGCTCTCAAATGGTGTGCTGCATTGTCCTGTATGTCTCGGTGCTGTCTCATCTATTGGGGTACAAGCGTCCAGGCATGTTGCTCCCACTGCCAATAGCACCCCCATAAAACAGGATTTGTGGCGTAAACCCATTGAATGATAATGAATTGATCAGTGTGTGTTTGCTCACCACTTATCTTCAAAATAGTTACTTGACTAACTCACCCCTCTTCCTTGCGTAGCATTTGAGCATTGAAATACCATCATTCTGTTAAAGTTCGAGTGGTGAAATACCTATCAGTGGGCTACCAGTGAGCATAGGCTGAGTGAATGAGCAAATAGAGGAGCAATAATAAATGACACACGGACACCTTGCACAGTCCCTTCTTTGGAAAGAAGCTCAGATTGTCTGAGGCAAACTGCTAGAGTCTACAGCTTTATTAGCTGTTTCTTAAGGAGTGAGTCATACGCAAACCCTTGGGTGGATGCCATGTAAATTATGTATTAGAGCTAATGCCCTAAACCTGTAGTCCATGGACCTTATCCTCAGTCCTAAATCTGCTAAAATCATCTGCAAAGTTTTGTGGTTATGTATATGTGTGAAATATCCTGGGGAGAAACTAAGGAAGTTCATGTCTCAAAAAAGGTTAATTGCCATTGTGTCCGAGGCGTCCATTTACGGTGAGATGAATGTTGCATGGATACTTTGTGTGTTTCTAAAGTGGAGAGATGCTGGCCACCTTGCTAAATAATGTAAGATGCTAGATACACGGGAGCTGCCAGTCTGCTGTTACCCAAGTTGCCATTTCTCCACCAAAAAAAACCCTTATTTTCAGCATCAGAAAGCACTTGTAAATTAAAGTGCTTTACTGTCTTCCCTTGGCTAAGAGAGAAATGAAAACCAACATGCAGGCCAAGGTGTGCCATCGCTGGAGAGCAGACAGCGCCCCTAGGCCAGCATTGCTCATTTCCAGGGGGCAGTACACGGCCTCAACCCTGAGCTCCAAAACCTCAGCCATGTGTCACGGTCCTTGGCTAAGTGCCACCTTCTGTCTCTGCAGGTCACAGTCTTTAGCAAACTTGTTCCTTCGTTAGAAGAATCTGTACTTTTATTCTCTAAACTGGAGGTTGGCTCAAAGGGTTCTTTCTTAGTTCCTGTCCTTCCCGGAAGCGTATCGATCTTATTAACGCTGTGCTCACACCAGGGAGCCACGGATGACCAGTATCCCTGTGGGCAGAAGTGCTATCAAAGCATAGGACTGTCCTGAGATTGTCACTGTTTGGCATAACACGTTGACAGAAGCCTAAGCCACAGATCTGCCTTTATAAATAAGAAAGGGAACTCCGACCATTCGGGCACTGACGTGGGGCCTCCACAGAACTAAAAGTTTGAATAAACTGACATAGCAACCCTGAGAAGTAGCTACTGTTATGCCCATTTTGCAGGTGAAGAAACTGAGGCTCGGCCAGGCGCGGTGGCTCACACCTGTAATCCTAGCACTGTGGGAGGCCGAGGTGGGCGGATTGCTCGAGGCCAGGAGTTCGAAACCAGACTGAGCGAGACCCCGTCTCTACTATAAATGGAGATAAATTAATTGGCCAACTAATATATATAGAAAAAATTAGCCGGGCATGGTGGCGCATGCCTGTAGTCCCAGCTACTTGGGAGGCTGAGGCAGGAGGATTGCTTGAACCCAGGAGTTGGAGGTTGCTGTGAGCGAGCACCACGCCACGGACTCTAGCCTGGGCAACAAAGTGAGACTCTGTCTCAAAAAAAAAAAAAAAAAGAACGAACCTGAGGCTCAAAGAGATTAAGGAGCATACAGCTGGTAGGCGGCAGACTGGACCTCAAACCTCAAATCTCAACTGCTCCAGAGGCAGCTGCCCAGGCTCGGGGCTGAGGCTCCTCCCAGGATGTTTCTGTGCTCTGCCCGGAGCTGTCCGCTGGATCCAGACACCAGACCTCGCCTCCAAGCGGCCGTTCTAATGCCATGTGTACTTTCGTTGGTTCCTTTATTCACACATCTCCCATAAATTAAACAAAATAAAAAAAATATATAAATTTGTACTCATCCTTATGTCAGAGCCCATCAAACATTTAGGAAAATATGGCTGATCAGCATAAATAATTTAGATGTAAATTAGTTGTCCTTAAAAAACAATTCCCTCTGAAATGTGTCTGCTAATTCAGATATAGTTATTCTCTGAGCAGATGAAACATCTTTTCCCTCAACTCTTCTTCCCAGCAATATATCTTTGAGACATAAAAAAAGAAAAAACCCACATAAAGGCAAAATGCAGTCTATTCTTTACCATAAAACATTTCAAACGAAAAAATTCTCAGACTTGGTTTTCAAAAGATTTGCAAAATTAATGAATGCAAACATATGGCACAGGAATGTCCTTTCCGGATTAAAACCTGAGAATAGAAATAAATTGGTATTTCTCCTTTCATTCTCTTTCTCATTAAGAACTGTGTCTTAGCCATAAACAAGAACCTATCCTTAAACGTTACATTCTTTTTCTTCTTTCTTTTTCAACAGGGGACTTATTATGTTTGAAAATGAAACCTACGTCTTAGAACCATTGGAAACTGCAACCCAGAGGTACAAACTCTTCCCAGCCAAGAACCTAAACAGCACCTGGGGATTGTGTGCATCGCATCCTGACATGGCAGGCCTCGCCGCAGATAACACGTTCTCGCCACCCTCTCACGTGTGGGCAAGAAGGGTAAGAGGGACACCCCATTTCACGTTTTGGGGAAGCTAGGGGCTCAAGCTATGGATGCCCAAAGCTGGGACATCTGGAGGAACTTTGCCACCAAAGGGTGGTGTTTGGGGGATGGAGGTGCCCGGCGTGTCCACAGGCACTTCACGTCATGTGGAAGAGCGTGACCACTGCTGAATCTCCATCATCGAGTTGCAAACATCAGCCTCAGACTCATCCAGATATTCCGGGTAGAGTCACGTAGTCGGGGTCAGAGGGTGACAAATCACCGTTCACAAGATCTTCCATGAGACCCTACCGCGGGCCTAGCCCCAGGGCTGGGCCCCACCATGGCGGGCAAGACAAGAATGGACGCCGCCCCACTCCCCAGCAGCTCTCCTCCTGCTGGAGGAGGAAGACCATACGGAGGTTTCTTCATTAGCAAATCCGGGTTCTCATGACACTTCGCAGAAAGTTCTCGGTCTGTGCCCACGTGCTTGTGCAGAGGTGAATTGCATCGTTGCCCGCGTGGTGTTGCTTTAGAGTTTTGCCGACCTCCTAGTCCAAGCTGCAGATGCCTATCCTAGCTCCCTGTTGGCACTGTCCAAGCAGTCTGTCTGTCCTGGCCACCAGCCCCTAGGTCTGCTCGTAAAAGATCTTGCTTTCTGCTGCGGCACTAGAGCGAGTAGTTGCCTAACAGTCTGCTCTGTGAATGTACTTCCCTCTCTGACACTTCTCGTGTGGCACCACCAAGCCTCCGCCCCCCAAATACCTGCCCGTCCCTTTTCCGTCGGGTACTGTGTGGGCAATACAGGCCACAGTGGCTCTCTGTTAGCAAAGACTAAAGGTGGTCCTTCCCCATGTTTGGCTGGAGTCCCTGAATCTAAGCACAACCAGATAGGAAATTATCAACAGTTTCCTGATTTTCCATCTCTGGATTTCCTCTCTCTCTGTTGACAAGAAATCAAGAAAATTCATAAATATGTCGTTTATGATTATATTTGACTGTCTGAGGACACGTTCTTCAAGGTTCCTCTTGACACATGTTGTCTTTCCTAACTTTAATTTTAGTAGACCATTGTTTAGCGCTCAACATTCCGTGAATATTATTCTTGGTTCATCCTATTAATCATTCTTCTGAATTCAAACAGTAAGGGTTATCCCAAATGATTTCTTCTCCTTCTTAAAATTCCCCTCATACCTGTGGATAGGTGTCCGTTCTCCTAAACTACTCTTGGTTAAAACCAGTTCAGGACTTTGAACTCAGATTAGATTCATTCTTTTTGGTGCAGGTGTCCCGCTTGTGCGACCCTCACCCCCTCCCTTTACTAGTGTGTTTCCAAGATTTTCTGTGGCAGGTGCTGGCGACCCGTTTCCTTTCTCTGCCCCGTGGCAGGAGGGAGAAGACCCCTCCCATCAGGTGCTGTGTCTTGGGGGTGCAGGGGGCAGTAACCTAATCCCGGGGGACAGAGCTTGACAGTCACCCCCCAGCTCAGGAGGGTTTCATCCTGCTGCTCCGTTCCTCACCCGCCCGTCTTAGAGTGACAAAATTAAGAGCTTCGATCACACAGACCAGCCTCTGTGGTCCCACACACGTTTATTTTGCTCTTCAGATGCTTTTGCCTTTGATTCCGTGGGTAAGATGTGATGAAGCTACAGCTTTCCAGTCGTAAACAAGCAGAACATTTGCACGTCGTCTTCCAGGCGCTTTGCGCTGAGTACCTTGTTGGATGCACGTCATCCGCATTATAAGATTTACAATTTGACGGTCTAGATGACACTCAAATATGTTTGCCGTTTTATTTAGCGGTGCGAGCTTGGTCTGTCCTTGCCAGCCATATTTTTAACTCTTTTAGCCTGCAGCTCTCTAGTTTTAGAGCTATGATTGTGACTCGCGGTCATTTTGACTTGAGAAACAGGGAGAACCCGACTCGCAGCGCTGTTTTGTTAATAACGCATGCTGAAGTGCAAGCGAACCTTTAAACTGAAAAGGGAAGGCGTTGATGCCAGGTCAACTCAGTTCTCGACGTTCCTCTCTAGAAGTAGTTGTGATTGTTTTCACGGAAGAGAAAGCATCCTGGACTTAAAAGTGCACGTATATAATGAACATGGTGCAAAAAGAATATAATTTCCATGTAAGTAGGATTCTTGGGAATTGCAATTATATGGAAGATTGTTTTGGTTAGCACCTATGGCAAATATGAAAGGGGCATCGCCTGCCTCACTTATGCTGCCTTTATTTTATGCTTTAAAAAAAAATCAGTGTAACTGCGGCTGCCTAATCCTGTTTATGCAGCGAGGCAACCACGTCTGCTGCTTCCCAGCGTTTTTCTGCCCCCACTAAATGTTAACTGTTGCGAAGATTGGTTTGCAGACTGATTTTCCTGCAGATGTTTGCATTTTTCTTCATGGAGCGTTGGTAATAAATCTGCACTCGGGGTCTACACCGGCTATAATATAAACCTGCGCTATTGTATGTCATTTTTACAGGGCTCTACGTTAGGTTTTAGTGAGAGCCCCCGTCGCCCCTGGAAGGGCACAGAGAGACAGGGAGTGTCGCAGTCGGTTCTGTCCTCTGCGGGTTTTTAAACCCGATCTGCTCACCTACGTCCCACTCCCCTGTCTGTGGGCTTTGCGTTCAAGAATGCAAACTAATTTTCACATCAGCCTGCACAAGCTGTGAGGAAGACAAAGGCAGTCAGTCTGGGGGAAAGCCACATAACACATCCCAAAGGCAAATGCACATTACTTCTGAATTGTCCTCTCTTTAGGGATTATCTGTGCCACTGTTCCCCTCCATTAGTACGGATTATTACGAGCCAAGTATAAAAGTTGCTGTCTTCTCTGGAAAGAAGCGTTTGCTTGGGCTGCTGTGTACACGCAGGCGCGTTCGGGAGGAACTGTGTGTCTCCCCAGAGGCGGCCGTTGCGAGGCCACCTGGCGCTGCCGCTGCTTTGTTTCTGGGTACCCTCGCGTACCTGTCTCATGGAAGCCGTAGGCGTGGTGGTGGTGGTGGTGGTAACAGTAACAGATGCGTGGAGCCTAACAATAGTTGAATGTCAGGAACGGGCCGGAGCCATTTAAAGACTCAGTGATGACGGCAGGCGTGTTGAATTCCTCTCCAGCATGACCATCGCCCGCCGCCTCTGAGGGACCGTCCTGTTCCCTTACCTGCCTTGCTGCTGCTTTCAGAGCTCGATGGCGGGGAAGCAGCAGCACCGCTTCCTTGGGCCTGGGCTTTGAGTGTCTGTTTGCGAAGCTGAGGCTCTAAATTTCCCGGCGTGGATCGCTACTGAGTGTCAAATCCATTAAAACTCTGGATAAATAAATAACAGCCCTTACTTTGTGCCACCGGTCTTTTCTGTACTCGATTTCGGTACTTCCCATTTGTCCCTAATTAACATGCAGTTTGTCCCTAATTAACATTCAGTTCATCGGGTTCAGCCCATTCTCCCAGCATATTGTTTCCTTTGCTTAATCCTGCCAGCCACACGCTGGCCAGGCTGGCCTCACTGGCTGGGGCCCGCCCGGGCAGACGAAATCGGCGAAGAATCACCAACAGGGATGGTGGAGACGACCTTTGCCAACCAGAATCAAGCTCAGCTCACAAATATTTGTGGCCTGAGAGTCGAGGCCTGGAGCCATAATACTTGGAGCCATAATAACTGTTCCTTGCTCATGGGAAGATAAACCCAACTTTGGCTTCGTTTAAGGTGCTGATCTCGCCAGCACCTGGCCCTGGCCCCATGGTTACTGTTGCGCTGTGGCTGTCTGGGTGTGTCACCGCCCACTCAGGTGTGTGTCCCCCCAATCACGGCTGTCGCCAGCTCTCGCCTGCACAGCTGCGTGACCTCCGACATCACCTGCTCAGAATGCATCCTCCTCCCCGCAGCCCAAGTGATTTCTTTAAAATCTCACAGTCAGGGGCTCCCGTGCTCTTGGACACTTAGGCTTCCCTTCAGCCTCCTTGCCACGGCCCCGGCGCCCTGTCCCGTCTTTGCCTCTCCTAGCCCACTCTCCCCCCTCACCAGGGGACTCCTGCCATACTGCCCGTTGCTCCAGCACGCCAAGGTCTCCCAGCCTCAGGGCTTCTGCCGCTGCTGTTCCATCTACCCGAAACACTGTTCCTGCAACAATCTTCCACACATACCTGTGTTGGGGTTAAGGGAACTTCTCCTTCGCCCACAGAGGGTTCTCTGAAGAATCAGCTTACGAAAGGCAGAGTAATTAGAGAAGGGGCATACAGATTTATTTAACATGCATACGCAGCAGCCTTCAGAATGAAGACCCGACCCGTCGGGGCACAGAAGCTTATATACTGTCTTGAGGGCGTAGAAAGAATGAGGGCTTGGATCCTGGCAACACAGGTGACAGGGGTGCGGAGAAGAGTAATTCCGTTGAGGGACAATAAATGCTTACTGGGGACAGTCCAGTGGGCTTGAAGAACAAAAGCTCATTTTGAAGCAAAGTCTGTTGGGCCCCAGAGCGGACAATGGCTTGTTGCAGAAGCCTGTCCAGGTTTGTTAGCAGACTTGAGCCTGCCTTCCTGCGGTGTGAGTTCAGTTCTTGAAAACTCAGAGAAGGGAGCAGAGGTCACCGTTTTCTTCTTCGGTAGGTCTGGACTTTAGGCACATAAGGAACTTTGGAGGATCCTGTGCTTTGGGGGAGACAGTGGGGGCCCCGGGGGACAGGGGCCACAGGGATCCTGAAGCTCCTTTTCCAGTTCATCATGTACAAAGCGCCGTGTTTTGGGGTATCGGATTCCGAGCCCCAACACCTGCTTCTTTATCCTTCAGGTCTCAGTGAACTGAGCCCCTCCTCCAGCTTCATCCTCATTGCAGACCTTGTTTATGTCCTTTGTTGCACTTTGCCTTATCTTTACTAATCCCGTGTTGTCTTCCCTTCCCCCAATCTCCCCAGGAGGCAGGGACACTGGGTTCCTTGTCTGTCCTGTACCCCAGGCCCCAACACAGTGCCTGGCACACGCTGTGCCCCCAGTAGGTATTGCAGGATGAACTAACGCTTTACAGAAGTTCTGACCCGTACGGAGAAAGCATTGCGGATTTATGGTCGCCCTGATCTCGGCTTGCTTTTCTAACTCAAGTTCCCAGTGCCAGAGCTCTCACTGCAGGCGGTTTGGAGAATGTCTATCCCTGGGAACTTGGCCGTGGTGGCTCTGAGAGGCCCGGGAACTGGTTCCCTCTTGAGCAAGACTCATCGAATGCCTCTGCCTCCACCTTGGAACGGAGGCTCTTGGGCCAGCCCCAGAGGCTCATGTTCCTGTTTGGGGAAGGGCCTTCGTTCATGACTCAGAAAATGAAAATTCAATCAAGCAACCAGTTTCGAATGTTGCTCTCTATATCACACATTTAAAATATGATTTTTTTTTTAAACTGGGCGAGCCAGATAGGTGGAAATCATGTGGAGGTAATTTAAGCTTCTCTGTATGTGCGACTCAGTGCAGGGGGGCGGGGGGTGCGAGGGGGGTAGGGGGGACCTCCGAGGCTGAGAGCCGGCCACTCCCCCGCCGTGTTTTATTATCATGCGGTTAAGCTGCTCTCTGAGCTTGCAATTCTCTGAATTCATGAGAAAATGTGGACTTCTCTGAAAACTGCAGAGACAGGGAAATTGTGTTCATGTGTTTGTTTTCATTATCTGGAATTGTGTATTTTCTAAGTGATGAGCTAGAGCCAGTTGGAAATGGCCCCCGGCCGTTGATTCCGCCCCTCCCAGGCTGAGAAGTGTAAACGTCTAAACATCCAGAGTCCTTTCGATGAGTTTTTCAATAGAGGATTCATTTGTTTTTTTTTTTCTTTTCCAGAGCTATATTTTCTTCTATGTAATTAGCTGGACTTACTAATGGCTAATCAGGGAATCGTGAGCGAAAGAGAGATTTCTGCTTCTCTCATACCTCAGTACGGAAAAGGAGCAAGATCTTCACACTTGCAGAAGGTGTCTCATTTCATGTGCACCGATGAGCTTGTGTTTTTTTTTTTTTTTCCTTTATAAGTAATACATTGTTACCACCATGAAGCATGCCTACAGCATGTAACACGTAGCAACAAAACGTGGCACTTTTTGTCTCGTAACATTGTAAAACTATGAGAAATTATACCTTTCATGGTGCTTTATTGTCCCTTCCTCCATGAGGTTTTCAGATTTTCTTTAGGGACACCTAAACCCATGAGTCAGCACAGCTGGGCGGCAGGAAGGAACACTGCCATAACACAAACATTTTTCTTGTAAAAATCTGTTTGGAAGATCCTGGACTGGTGGGGGTTTGTTTTATAAAAGATGTTTCCCTCAGGACTGTGCGGCGGGAAACCCAATTCAAAGCACACTGCAGTCATTTTTGCTCTTGTCTGAGAGAGCGGTTGCCGCAGGCAGGTTCCAAGCGTCAAGCGGCGGACGGAGCTAACTCGCAAACCAGCGGTCTCAGTGGTCGGGACCAAAGACCGGTTCAGCCCCGTGTCCTCCAGCAGCGTCTTATTGCAGAAACAGAAGGCTTTGTTTTTTGTTTTTCATGTTTGCTTTTTGAGACCACCCTCCATGAATTGCTTTATTTCTCCTAAAAATGCCGTTGGGATTCTCCCAGCGATTCACAGGGGAGTGCAAAGGCTTTCGGAGAAAGTTTGATTAAAATATAACCAGCTTCAGAGGCTGCCCGTCTGGGTTCATGTTTCTGCTGCCTGAATCTTCTCCATCCCTCACCTAATATCCAATGTCCACGCTCTTCTCAACTGTTTCGCTCTTACAAAACCCCCTTTCTCCAGCGGCAGGTTTCAACCTTTTCTTTTTTTTTCTTAACGCTATTTCTGTCTGCCTGTCTGTCTCTGCTGCCTTCTGTTTCTCCTCCTCGTGCCTCTTTCTGGCCTCTCTGTTTCTCAGCCTGGCTGTTCTCCTTTCTCCTGACCACCCCTTTCGTTGCTTCTAACGAGATTTTTAAATGGTCGTTTTTAAGTGATTATGCAGTTCCTGTTCAAGGCTTACTCTCCTCCACTCTTCCCAAGTCATAAAACAGGTTCATTTGGACCAGGCAGACGCAGGGAACATCGTGCAACACTGAATTCCGTCATCTTCTGTAACGGTCTTCGCATGTGCTGTGTGTGGTCCGCAATAAACGGCCTTTGACGGGCTCCTGTTCTAGAGAGCACTTTGGTTCTGTCTGTTTATGTGCCTGTTTTGTTTAGTAATGATCTTGGCTTTCTGTCATCCTACCGTTGATGATTTGGCAGAAAGGTTAAAATCCTTTTTAAGGACTTCCCAAATGAAAACAGAAGCTGGTCACCCATGCTGAGAAGGTTTTACAAAGAGATTGGTTGGGGTTGGGGTCAAACTTCTAGATGGAGTGGAGGTGAGAGGAGGATGGTGGGAACAGATTCTCACCTTGAATTGGTTGGATTGAAAGACACGGACGGTGATCTGGGAGCCCCAGAGAAGCATTAAGGGAAATTAAATCCATGTTTACTTTTGGCAGCATAAAAGAGAGACCCTCAAGACGACCAAGTACGTAGAGCTGGTTATCGTAGCAGACAACCGAGAGGTAAGAACTTTCTGAAATTTCTCAGTGTGGTTAGTTAGAAAGAAAGAAAAGAAAATGTTTAGTAACTTATTACTTGCTTTAATTACCCCACTTTCTGGGTGCCCTTGGAAGCATTGGAAACAACCCATTGAAAAAAAAATGGTTTTCTGATTTTATAAAGCATACAATATTAAAAATGTATCTGATTTTATCAAATAATAGCAAAGCCTGCAGGAAAAAAACAGAGTTGCGCAGTAGCTAAGCTCTCAAAACAAAGAGAATTGTTCAGGGGAAATGACAGGTAGCTTTAGATTGTATTTTAAAACATTTTGGAGAAAAGTTTAGTTTTTAAAATGTCTGATATTTCTAAATCAAAGTGAATGAATGAAGGTATAAATAAGTGAAGGCTGTAGAGACATAGCAGAAAAATCCTACCTTCTGATGTATGGCTTGAAACTATGTTAGTTTTATCTTTTAATTAATTTTGAATTAGTTTTTTCTTTTAGATTATCTTCTATTTATTGCCTCATTGACATATTATGGATTCGGTGACATTTTCTCATGGACTCATTCAATACACATGAATGAAATAAGCTTGACAATTTCTCAGAAAACTGTTCCCATTCCGGAAGATCAGATTAGGAGAATGGGGAATTTGTTAACTTCTTATCCATTCTCGTCTGTGTTGTTTGACAGGTTGCCATGAGCTTCTATTACTTTTACTATTTAATTTTTTAAAACAAATATAAAGCAAATTTCTCAGGAAGTTAAAATCAAGTTGATGATATGAAAAATGGCTTTGGATTGCCTTCTCGTTGTCTATTTCCCCTTTGCCAAAACGTGTCACTGCTTCCATCATTTATGAGGTTGGAAAATTGCAGAAGTTTCTATCTTACAAGCACTTGGCTTGGGAGAGTTTCAGGGAGTCCCCAGCCGGGAAAATTACTCGGCAGGATGCAAGCTCATTTCACCATAAACCCTGGTGGAGAGTCCCGGGTGGTTTGCAAAAGCCCAAGACTGGACATTTCCAGGAGCTGGGAAGTTGAGATTTGATTGATATTCTTGCCATTATTAATACTGACATTTAAAATTGTTAAGTTTCAGAGGCAAGGAAAAGATCTGGAAAAAGTTAAACAGCGATTAATAGAGATTGCTAATCACGTTGACAAGGTAAGTTCTTTTTCAGGTAATTAAATTACTCACATCATGTAAATGCTTGCAACTGAGGTTGAGAGAATCGAGCACTTTGTGGGACTTACCAGGGAGACCAGGCTCTGGGCTGGGTCTCTGAACTCGGGCCCTGGGCTGGAACTTGGAGTTTCCCATCCTCTGAGCACACAATGCCCGGGTCCTGGAGTGGCTTCAGGAGATGCCACCTTGACTGTGATGGCCTTGGGGATGCAGCTTCCTCCAGGCTCTCTTCTGGCCAGACAGAGTGCCAATCCGAGGGGATATGGTTTCAGTAGCTGGTCTTTGCCAAGGAAACTTTATCACAAAGCCAAGATGCAGGGGAATCCTGGGAACAGAGTGCCAATCCAAGGGGACCTTGGACTGCCACATTAGATGCAGGACCCCCTGCAAGCTGCATCCATCCCTTTTGAAAGCCCTTGAGCAGGGCCTCTCCCAAGCCCCCCTGTGGCGGATCCCACAGGGCCCTTCAAACCATCCCCACCGGTGCAGCCCCGTGCCAAGGTGGCCCTGAGGGTGGGCTCTCATTTATAAGGGACCCACAGGTCTATTGTCCTGGGACACAGAAACTGACCTTCAGTTCAATCAGCTATTGGAAAATCCCTCCCCAAGAACCTCCCCCAAGCAGGTCAGAAACACCTTTCACAGAGACGATGTCCCTATTGGAAGAGCCCCTGGAAATCTGGTCTAACCCTGGGGGTATTTGCCCACTCACTGCTCCTCACACCACCTGCTAGCAAGGAAATGGGGAAGCTGTCTATCTGTCCAAACCGTCTGTCCTTCATCGACACATGACTCTCGGCCTAAAGCAGGGCTTCTCACGCTTGCCTGCATGCTGGAGCTGCCTGGGAGGCCCTCAGAGACATTCTGCCTTCATTGCGTGGGGGCCAGGGGCTGCATATCAGAACTTTCAGGAGCTCCCTAGCCATTCCCACGTGCACCGAGGCTGGCAACCTCGGTCCTAGAGCACCTGTAGCTCCTAAGCAACACTGCGTGTCCGGCCTGTGACGACAGCATGAGAGGGGCCCGGTCCCTGCTGAGCCTCTCAGACACAGCCAGGATCCCCCCAAATGGTCAGATTTTCCACACCGTGGTTCAGGAGCGCGCCTCACGGTAGCTTCATTTCCAAGCGATCCTATCATATTGGAATGGAGTTTTCTAAGTCTTTGGAGAAATGAAGGCAAAGGCCCTCCCAGAAATTCAACTCCGTTACACAAAGCCTTATACGTGGTACCAGGCACTGAGCATCAAGAATTCGAAACGAATCACGCACGGTCCACGCACTTAAGGGAGTCAAGGCTTCGTGGAGAAGCAGACACACAAAGCACTTAGCGTGGTCCGAGGCATCAGGGAGGAGACTGATGCTGCGACCTGAGGTTACGGGGACACAGAAAAGAGTCCCTCACTTCTCTCTGGGGTCAGGGTGTCTTTGCAGGGAGAGGACCCCACAAGGTGAGGGCAGTTTCACTCAAGCGGAGCATGGCAGGGCCTGGCTTGTGCTCCACAATCCGGACATTGCGAGTAGCTTCTTACGACTAAAGGGAGCGTGTGTGTGTGTGTGTGTGTGTGCGTGCGTGTGCGCGCATGCATGTGTATCCATGTGCATGCACGCTCATGTTTGTATGTAAGTGCAGCACATCTAGGGCAGGAGGAGATGAAGCTGTAGGGATTCTGACTGCCCAAGGCCCCGGACGCCCTACAAAGCTGTCCTGACCTTATTCTGCAGTCAGTGGAGAGCCCGGTGAACGTGTTTAAGCCGGGGAGAGAGACAGGGTCGTGCAAAAATACCCCTGCAGTTAGCGGGGAGGACGGCGTAACCAAAGACAAATAGGGCTGGGTAGGAGCCGACTGCACAGAAATGAAGGCCTGACCCGGGGCAGAGGGGAGGCAGAGCTGTGAGAAGGACGAGGATCTAGAGACATGTGAAGAGACGTGGTTACCAATACCTTTTGTTTGGCAGTCACTGTGTGCCAGGCTTGGCTTCCACTCTAGGCAGGTACTGCTGTTCCCATTTGGAGAGCAGAAGAGGCGAGGTGTGCAGAGGTCAGTAACTTGCAACTCGTTGACTTGGCCTTGTCTCTGCTGCACTTGCTGGGAGTCCCAGGACCCAGCGGCCGAGCAGAGGGTGGGTTCAGGTGACTGCAGTCTCATGGTGAGGACACAGGCACACGATGCTTCATGCCCCAAAGAAGCAGGCGTGGGAAGAGGAGTTTGGGGGCACTCTGAGCAACCAGAGACCTGGGCCTGGCACTCAGAGGGAGGCTGTGTCTGGAAGGAACTTTCTAAAACTCAGAAGACACACATGGTCGTCAGTGTGCATCAATAGGACGTCACCCTCATCCAGCAGACCTTTGAGGCGGCTCAGACTCCCTGGCAACCCCTGCCTGTGCATACGGTTTGGGTAGCTGCTCTTTGGCAAGGAAACTTTATCACAAAGCCAAGAGGCAGGGGAATTCTGGTAATAGGCAAGTCCTGCCGGCAGGAGGGTGTGGGAGGTGGGAAGGCGTCACGGACAACATGGGGGTCAGAACTGCATCTCAGTCCCGGCCCGGCATTAGAATCCCCGGAGACTTTTGTTTGTCTGTTTGTATGTTTACTCTTTGAAATACTGATTCCCAAACCTCAGCCTGGGATTCCGATTCGATCGGCCTGGGGTGGAGCCTGGACACAGGAACTTCCCGGGGTCCTCCAGCGATTCCAGCTCCAGGTGGGTCTGTGACGCGCTGACTTAGGCCAAGGGTCCAGGTGCCCTGGCCGCCAGCACGGGCCATTGCTCCAAGCCGAGCAACTTGGACCATAGCCTGGAAGGCCTTGGACTGTCCTCAGACTGCACAAAAAATGAGAGAACATGAATTCTTCTTAGGCTGCAGGAAGAAAAGCAAATGATGAACTATATTAAACCCACAGTGGAAATTGCTGAAACCCCGTTTTTAAAAGTGATATATTTTGGCCCTCAGTGTTTGCATTTCTTTGCATTTTATTCTAGGTTATATCTTGCTTCAGTCTGCAAAACCAAAAACAAGCAATTGAGGGTTTGTTAGTAATTTGCACTGGTAATGAAAGGACACCGAGTCTCAGAAAGTCCTGATGGACTCAGCTGAGCGTGCCAGCCTGGCTGCACTCGGGTTTGTGGTGGGGAGAGAGCCGTGTGCTGAGCACACAGATATGTCCGGCCTGGCGTCCCTGTCTGTCCCCAGCAGACCCCAAAGGCCCTGGTGGGGGCACCCAGGGTCCTTAAGAGACTGTGTGCATCCAACTCTGTCATCTGGTGACCCTTGTCTCTGCCAAACTTTCCAAATTTCAGTTTTGCAACTCTACAAGTTGGGAGTGTCTCAGCCTAAAACACAATGACTGTCCCAGTGGCAGCTTCCTCGTTGGCTGAAGTCTTGGCTCCCCTGGGCTACTCTAAATTAATAACTGCTGGGCTGTGTTGGCGTGGAGAGGACATCCTGGGCTGGAAGATACAGAAGTGACTGAGTGACAAAGGTGACATTCTGGGACATTCAGGAAATCCCCCCATGAGTGAAACAGAACACATGGTTGACACGCCTACTTGTAGGGCAAACTCGGGACACTTTTCCAGGTCCCGATTCCTGCTGGGGAGTGACTGCCTTGGGAGGAAGTCATTGCCAGGCTTTGCCTCTTTAGCCCTTGGCCTCCCATCTGCCTTCCTCCTCGTTCACTGAGGGCTAGCACCAGCCGTGAACTCAGTGACCTACTTTTGAAAAGACTCATCTTCTGTGTATTTAATTTCTTTGAGTATTTTCACCTGTTTCACTGGTGTGATGGTTTTCTCCCCCTCTTACCCTCAAACCAGTTGCCTTAAGGATGCTCATTTCTTCCTGAAAGCCACCTTGACCCCCCCCAGAACAGCATCCCTGGGTGTCCTGTTTGCACAGTTGCTGGGCAGTTCGCTGTGCTGGAGCTCGCTGGGGTCATGGCTAAGCACTCCATGCCACATGCCTCCCGATGGCCTCTGAGCACCCGGGTGGCAGCGATGAGGGCCTCTTAAGCTTCGTCCTCTCTGCTGGGGCCAGGCCTAGCCCACAGCAAGAGCCGAGCAAATGTTTGTAGCTGTCAGGTGAATCCGTTCAGCTGGATCCCTGACTGTGTCCACGCGCGTTCTGGGATTCACGAATCAGGCAGGTGGCTGCCGAGCCCCATCTGTACGGCACAGGCCCACGAGCCTCTCTCTGGGCCTGGGGTCACGGTGAGCCTCTCGGAAGGGAGTCTCAGCACTTGCTGAGATGGCAGTGTTACTTGGTGGTTAAAACATGCGTGTCAGGGTCAACTGCCTGTCTTCAAACCCCAGCCATGTGATTGCAGTCTTGAGTAAGTTACCTGGGCTCTCCAAGCCTCAAGTGCCCTTGACCATAACATGGGAATCATAATAGTTCTTAACTCGTACAGTTACTCTGAGGACTAAGCTACAGGACAGAAGCACCTTAGCACCAGGCCTGGGGTGTCCTGATGCTAAGCGTTAGCTGTGGTGGTTGTCAGGAAGAACCAAAGGAACCCCGTCAGCGGCCCTGGGAAGAACTTTCAGAGCAGGCGGTAAAGGGGCGTGTGTGATGGCTCAATGTGGGTTTAACACAAACGACAGTTAATCAGCAGCACTCACTTTGGAGAAGGGGATTGTATGTTGTATACCACTAAGGATGAAATCTGTTCTAAAGATGTGGTTTGAGAAGGCTAATTGGCGGAATGCAAAACCCGTCATTATTATGAAAAGCTCCTGGATTAGTAAGCAGCAAACTTTTCACTGAGAAATGATGACAATGGGTTTTTTGCAGACCTTAATTACTGCCTCCATACAACACTGAAGGGAAGCAAACGTAGCGTCCCCTTCACAAATGATAGCCCTGAAACCCACGTGGGGTGTTTGACTCTGAGGACATCCCTTAGCAAGCTGGTATTAATATAAACATCAGCACCATTGCTGCTTTCCGCTGTTACCTTTGCATACAGTACAGCTGAGAACGCAGTCTCGCAAAGGACGGCGGCCAAACATGTGCACTCGGACTTCCAGAGCAGTCCGGGAACTTGATTTTGCCTGGGAGGCCTGGGCTGGGTGCTCGCAAGTAGATACCACAGGACATGCACTTCTTGATTAAAAACAAACTGTTGTGCAGTGTTTCAGTCATGCAATTGTCTCATTAACTCATTAATACAAGGGCTATAATTGTTATCTGTTTGAAACCACGTTGGACCGAGGCAGTCAGTTTATATTCTGTGATATAGTTTGCACTCTGGTCTTATTCTTCTGTGAACCCAATGCCCACCATGTGGCCATGGGGACCAGCAAGGGGTAAGATGAGCCTGCCTTAGAATCTGGGTTAGAATCTGGGGTCAGATGTGCAACTTTGAGGAGTTTCTTGTCCTTCAGCTGACTGCATTGGAATGGTGCTTAACTATCCAGTGCAGGGCTTCTTCGAGTTTGTTATGCATTGGCTGGATGCTTCTAGCAGCTGAGCATAGGCCCTGCTGACACCTGGAGCTTAGGTTAGCTTTGGCTGCTGTCACTAGCCCCGTTTTTCTCCGTGGCTACCTGGGGTCTCAGAAGATGAGGGCTTTCTCATTGTGTGCTGCCTATAGAGGAGGGACACTGGAAGATTGTACAGCCAACCAGTGGTCCCGTGTCCTCACGCCCTCAACTCTAAGCACAGAGCCACCTCCCTGTCCAGGTGATGGCGTGGTGACAATAGGTAGTCCATACCTCTACCCAGATCCCTCATCCTGGCCCCCTGGGCTTACATGAGACAAATCCATCCCTCGGTCATGGGAAGAGTGGCTTTCCCTTCCTCTGACCAGGCCATCTGCCTGCAGAGTCTGTGCTGCAGGCTGAAGTTGGGGACACCCACAGGTGGGGGACAGCCAGGGAATGAGAGGACTCGCTTTCCGTGGTGCCCCTGAAGCTTTAGTTCACAAGCCCCTGAAAGAGGAACTGCATTTAACAGATCTTTCTCATGACAGCGTTGGTGAGCTAACTTCTGGCTGCAGGGAGAAGGAGGGTCATTAAAGTTCCCAAAGAAGGGTTTTGTTTATGGCTTTATTATTCCAAAAGATATTGACTTTTTCATTTAATTAAAACCTGCTAGGCTGATTATAGGTGACAGAATATGGTAGTGTCAGCCAAGGCTGAGTCTTTGCTGAAAAATTAATGCAGATTCATTTTCAGTAACTCACAGGCAGAGCATTTTGCTTAAAAGGAACAAATTATTGTCCTTGGCAGAAGTGTCTAAAAGATCCTAACTCACTCATTGTTTTTCTTGCAGTGGATATTAACTGGAGTCTTTAGCTATCTCCTACATCTATATGCACATTTTAAATCACCAATGAATCATCTGAAATGTGTGCTTCCACACAAATGCAGGCAGACAGTAAAAAGGCTAATAACTCCATCTGTTTGGTCAACATGCGAGAATCCGGTTAACACATCACTTTGCATCAAGCACTGCAAATACTTCTTAGATTGTGATGCCACCGGAACAAAGGAGCGCTGAGATGTTTTTCTCACCCATGTCAGTGAACATCAAACAATGCAAATCTGTTCTGATTTTCATTTTAAGTTCTCATTAATGTGATCTCCAAGGAATGCCCGTTTCCCCCAGTTTTACAGACCGCTGAACATCCGGGTAGTGTTGGTAGGCGTGGAAGTATGGAATGACATTGACAAATGCTCGATAAGTCAGGACCCGTTCACCAGCCTCCATGAATTTCTGGACTGGAGGAAGATGAAGCTTCTACCTCGAAAATCCCACGACAATGCACAGCTCATCAGGTAGGGAGTTCCGTCTCCCCTCTGCATGCCCTCCCTCCTCCTGGTATCACCTGCATGGCCCGGAGCTGCACACCTTTCTGCAGAGCACCTGCCTTGAACAAGGGGCTTCTCAGCCCACAGCAGTGGGGCACATGCGGTCCCTACCTGAAATTGCAGATCTACTGGGGAAGGTCTCTCTTTGGACACCCTCTTCAGAACTCTCGATCCCATTTCAGAACCCTCATTTATTTATTCCAGAACCCGGACATTTTCCTCTATGCCACTTTTTCAAAAAGGCTTATTTCCTTTCATGATTAATGAAAAAAATATATGTTTATACAAGATCACAACAAGATCTAAGGACAGTACATTTGGGTGAATATTGTCAGATACCTGGAGAAAAAAAAAATCTTCATTCCTCCTCCTGTTTCGGCCGCTACTCTTTGGTTTTCTAGACCACAGAACACTAGGCCTAGAGCATATTAACCTGTGTGGCTTCTTTAAATCAGTATGTATTGAGCACCTGTTAGGAACCAAACAGTGTTTTAGGGGCTTTGAACACAATGGTGACCAACTCTGTAAATTCCCTGCTCTCAGAAGTCTCCAGTCTGGTGGGAGAAAACAATAAACAAGAAAATTTCAGAGAGTGATAAGTGTATGAAGATAAACCGAGGGAAAGAGTAGCTATAATGTACCATAATAGATTGGCGAGACTTTACAGACACCTTTATTTTTAAAAGAAAAGAACAATCTTATAGTCTAAACTGGCGTAAAGTAGATATGTCGAGAAGTGATGAATTTTTATTTAAATCTTTAAACAGCTTATGCCATCATTCTTTTGTTCTCATGCAGCTTGACAGAGATGCTTTCCTTTGGTGAATCAGATGTAGCTTACCGAACATTTATGGAAAGTTAAAAACCTGCCCGAGCCCATTCTCTCGGTGGGGAGCACCCACCTCTGAACTGAGGCTGGTGGCGTTCCCTGGGGATTTACTTTGGCCACTTTCACAGGGATTTCTTCCTCTCTCAGATGTTTGTGGTGGCCTCACATTTTATGCATTGATTAGTCCTGAACTACTAAAAGTACGTTTCCTGTATCTCGAGTCAGAGTGTTTTGATTTTTTCCCCCAATGGAGCTTGTCCAGTTTGAACGTCTGAAAATAAGTTAGCATCTTATGTAACATTATTTACATACACGTATAATCGTTTCTGCTCATATGATCTATATAGATGTAAATATAAAGGCTGAAATTCCTACTACTGTGAATGTGAGTGTAGTGGGTAGGTATGGAGATGGATAGATGGATAGTTGAGGTTTTATATACACTTACCACCTTCCCTCCAATTGACCGTGGCTAAAATATCTAACTTTTCAAACAATATATGCATTACCTGTGTATATATAATATATGATGGCCATGACAGTAGTGGTAAGTCATTTGATTTCTTTAAAGGGGATTCAACAAGTGCAATGTTTTAGTTTTTCATTCACAAGGTTGGAATTAGCATTTTCATCAGACAGGTCCTTGGCATTATTAGATTCAGGGTAAGCCTCCAGAGAGGAGGAAGCCTGCACCAGAGCCACAAAGTCCCCCCCCAGAAGCTTCCTGGGTGCCAAGGCTTTGTGGGTGCAACACTGGCTCCAGGGGATGGATCATCTTCCTGCCAATTTCAGTTTTGCAGGGCATTTTGAAGGAGTGTGGGTTTCTGGCAGAATTGGAATGAGTTACCCAGAAAAGCAAAATACAGCCGCAAAAGAACATCTAGTAAACCATCCGATGCATTTCTTTTAGTTAACGGTGATTCTCTGTGACTATTTTCAGCCTTTCCATCAACAGACACTGTTTAAATCAGCTCCCTATGGTCCGTTAGGAAGCAGGCAGGAAATGACTTATAAATGTAAAGTAATGACTAGCTGTTGGCTAAGTCTTGAAAACAAAATTCTAAAAGACGATGGGACCATGATGCAACAGCAAACATAAAATCTTAAGGGGAAAATAAATCAAAATCACATGTAAACATACCTTCATACAGCTATTTTTATTTTTGCATCCTCTGTTGCAAGAAAGTCTAACAGAATTTCAAATATTAGAAAATGCCTCCACTATGTATTAGATTAAAGGAAGTCCTCTCTCTCATTTCCTAGCGGGGTTTATTTCCAAGGGACCACCATCGGCATGGCGCCGATCATGAGCATGTGCACCGCGGAACAGTCCGGAGGAGTTGTCATGGTAAGCCCAGGACGCCAGGACCTGGTTTCCCTTGTTAATGATGCCCTAGAAAAATCACTGCTCTTATTGCACTTTGTGGAGTGAGGTCCTCTCCTTTAATGCTTTTCAGATTTCACTCTACTCTTACTTGAGCTATATTTAGAGTCTTGTATATCCCACAGTATTTTAGGGGCTGTTCGTAAGACAAATACAAGTTGCACACAGGAAATGTGGGCATGTAGACTAGCTGAGAGGAGGCAGGTCTATCCCTTTCGTGGAGAATCGCCTGCGACTGGGACTTTCCAGTCCAGGAATTCCTCCTAGCATTGGGGTGAGCCAGGGCATCGGGGTTGCCCTCATCACGCAGCTGTCGGGATGCACCGCCGTCTCGCCAAACGTTCCCCGTTGGAATGGTTTTCTGACGGCTCTTCCTCTAAGCACAGCAGCCAAAAGTCTGAGGTTTTTGACTTTTTACCACTGCAAATGCTTTACATACTTTCTGGCCGGTGTACAACTTGTCTTTAAAATAACCTTATTCTTGGAAGGCGGAGACCTGGGTTTATTGCTTTACGAGGCTGATTTTGTCATATATGGGCTTATATGTGTTTGTGAAAGGAAATAAAATGGGAAGAATATTTGGGGCTTCTTATGAATTTAAGAGGGAGGTAGCTTTGATAGGCTGTCCAACGGGGGGCTCAGGCTCCACTCCACCAGATCGTTAAAGGAGAGGTTTCCACCCTACGCTGTGTCCCCGTTCTGAAAACGCAGTGCCCCCTGTGCACCAGCCCGCAGACAGGGAGTATCCTCAGAGACCATCCCCCCATCTCCGTTACACACACAGAACCTTGCCCTTCCAAGAAGCCGTGAGTTCCTCCATGTTTTTTTTTTTTTTTTAAACAGAACATTTCTGAGCATTCGGTTGTATGAAAGGGTGGAAAGAGTTACGTTCTGCTGAGTGGTATTTTCTCTCCACATACTGCCTAATCACATCTTCTTAGTGAATACACACAAACAAACAGTTCCCTCTTCTCTGGGTGCAGCGGTTGGTAATCAACATAAGTCTGCACTAAATGCATTAGCTGTTTGGAGGGATTGCTCCCACTCATTGGACTCCCGGCTCGCATGGGCTGCTCTCTGCTTTTCTCAGAACATAGAGCCCCGTAGTGTGTGATCTCCACCAAGGAAGTCACTGGAAAGTTCGGTTTTTGTTACTGCCAGGTTAATTTCAAGTCAGATCCCAACTGTATTTTCACAGAGCAGCCTGTAAATTTTTAAGAGGGAATAATTTTCTGTTTCATGGTCCCATGGTCAGTTGCTACTGACTTTGCCACTTTAAGTTGGCATAAATATTTTTCTTAGAGCTGAAGCTGAATTCTTCCTAAGCATGGCAGGCTCTGCCACCTTCCGGCTCTGAGACGCTCCTGTCACCGATCTGGCTGTTTTGAGCAGCTTCCTTCAGCTCATGTCCCTTATTCTGTTTTTTTTTAAAAAGAAAAATTCAATAAAAATCCCTCCTTAAAAACAAAAAAGGAAACCTGAGTTTTTAAAAAAATATATGAAAATAAATGTGAGGAATATAAGCAAATTATGTATCATTCGTTAAGCAGTGAGGACCAAAGTTAATTATCAGGAAGTATGTTCTACTGATTTGACGGCAGTTAACAGCATCCTTGGACACACTCCTGGTGCTTTGCACATATTAGAGAAACATCACGTAGGATGAAAATGCTGTAGTACCTTTCATTTCTATAAAATTCATGAGATCAGCAGGATCAGCATCTTGACCAGACCTCCAACTTCTAGACCAGCTTTCTCCAGCTGTGCCTGTAAAGTTAAATTCTTAGGTGTTACATGTGACCATGCCTCATTCAAGGTCTCACAAATCTAAGAGGAAGGAAACAATGTAGCAAGAAGTAGGGATCCTCGTGAAATTGAAAATGTGATGCCTGGTACCATTTCTCTGTTTTTCAAAATAGAGCAGATCATTAATGTTAGTAACTTAAAGCCATGCCTTTGTATCTAACTGGCCTAAAACAGTCTGAGTTTGGGGATAAGACCACGCATTAAGAGATTGGATTTGTTGGTTGTTTTTTTTTTTTTTTCTCATTACAAATGTAAACTGTTTATCAGGGTCTCTTAAGAGATACTCTGTTTATAATCACTTATGCGTGAAAGAATGTAAAACAATTTGGCAATTAAAAACAAAACTGAGATATTCAGTGATACAAAAGAATCAGAAGTAGAATATTTTTTAAGCATGAATTCCTTGAATGTTGTGCCAAGGCATGCTAAATTCAGCCCTCCTCATTCTTAGATCAACTACATTTTCTTTGCCAATGTGTGTTATTCTTGAGAATTGATTTCCTGAAACATATTTGTAAAACCTTCTACAACAGGAAACTGTAAAAGCTAAGCAAAGTAATTTATTAGGAATTTCATCTATTCGAAGAATAACTTGGCTCCTTGACATGCCATTCTTTTCTTAGGCTGAGGGCTAGCTGCAAATGCTGCCACCAAGCCCGTAAGTCTTTACAATGAATCTGACTTTATCCAGAGACCTCACAAAAGCTGTGTCAGGAATAATGTTTTCTCTAAAATACAGTATTTTACTTTCTTAGTCCATTTCAGGTTGCTTATACCAGAAGCTGGGTGATTTTATAAAGAAAAATAATTTATTTGTTACAGTTATGGAGGCTGAGCAGTCCAAGGTCAAGGGGCCACATGTGGTGATGGTCTTCTTGCTGGCAGGGACAGAGTTTCTGCAGAATCCCCAGACAGCACAAGGCATCACATGGCAAGGGGGCTCTATAAAACCACCAGACCTACTCCCATAATAATCCATTAACCCATCAATTCGTGAACGGATTAATCCATTCTTAAGGGCTCTGCCCTTAGGACCCATCACCTCTTACAGGCCCAGGTCTCAATGCTGCCGTGTTGGAGATTAAGTAGGTTCGACACGAGTTTTGGAGGGGACAGACATTCAAGACATAGCAGCACCATTCCCTGGAAGCCTCTTGGGCAATCTATTGTCTCTTCCCTGGGTAGCACAAAGCAAGTCACAAATAAGTTACCTTCTTTACTCTGTGGTGTGCAGGGCTTTTCAGAAATGCCATTTGTGGGCATGATTTCTATAAATCACATTCACTAAGTTTAGTTTGTTAAAGTTAAGTAATTACATTTTTTAGTTAATTTCTAGCGTCGATCTGAGTCAAGCTCCCCAGGCACTCCACTAAATTAGGGGTGGCCCAGCGGTGCTTGCCGAATGGAGAAGCCTCCTTCCATGACCAGGCAAGAGGTTGAGTGAGCCCCTAGCAGCAGACGTCAGAGAATCGGGACATCCACACGTTTCCAAAGTCTGCCCGACAACACAGAGGGCCAGCAAGAGGAAGACATAACTGGATTATAATCCTAATCCAGTGAGACTCCAAACCACTTACTCCATGTGGTCAGGCTTATTGTAAATTATTGTGAATAATTTCCAAGTTTCCCCTAATGAGCAGGAAGAGGCATGCTCAGTAGCAACTGTCCAGGTCCTACTGAGAATGTCACAAAGCATCCTTCCTCCCATCCACTGTCAGCAGCATCTCGGTTAAGGATAAAGTGGCACTTTCATTACCCACACAGGAATGCGCCTTTTCTTCTTATGATACAGACATTTTTGCTTCATTCAGTAGAGTTTTATGAGAGATTGTAAGAATCAGGATGGACATCCCTGCCTCGATGATGTCATGTAAAGACGTGATGAATCCTACGTGTATACGTGAGCTGTACATGCATTCCTCAGCAACAGGGACCCCAGACTGGCTTAATGAATTATATCTTTTTTTTTTTTTAAGCTTGAACTAAACGATAGCTGTATACTGGTCCCGTATAGGGAATTAGAGTAAGTCAGATGTTGATGAAAGCTAGATGCCTTTGTTGGGGGTGGGGCGACTGGACAACAAGGCGAAGGGGGTGTGAACTCTACGTCTGTGCTCTTGTGTTTCCCCGAGGACCATTCAGACAGCCCCCTTGGTGCGGCCGTGACCCTGGCGCACGAGCTGGGCCACAATTTCGGGATGAACCACGACACGCTGGAGAGAGGCTGTAGCTGCAAGACGGCGGCCGACAGAGGAGGCTGCATCATGAACCCTTCAACCGGGCAAGTACCAGCGCGCCCCACCGCTCCGAGGGGGGTCGTGGCTTGAAATGTGCATTGGCAAATAGTAGAGTCAAAAGCTCCCCTGGTTCCCTGCTCAGAGCACCCATGGAAGCTTCCAGAAAGAAAATTCCTTCCCAAGAGTGGACTGTGCTACAAGGTGGAGTCACTGGCAGCCAGGTTGTGACGCTGCGTGGCGTGGGCCCTGACCTCTTCCCTGAGAAGTGGTGGGGCTGGGTGCTGTCTGGTTGGGAACCGCAATTTATCCCTCAGTCCCAGCGCGTGTTCTTGAACTGACCCTGCGGCTCCAGCTCCCAGGCCGCAGGAAGCAGCCGTCTGACGGCCTCGTGAACCCCCTGGGCAGGGCTGAGACGGGGGGTCGTGTGCCGGGGAGGAGGATGTACTGCTTCCCCTGGGGTTGCCCAGGTACATCTCAAGTGTCCCTGCCCCTGACAGCACGTCACCTTGCCGAATCTTAGAGGTTTAAGTGAAAAATGGTAGTTCTGCTTTGGTAATTTAGGATGTTCCTCCTTATTTACTGCCTTTCTGATACTCTGGGCTTGTTTCGATGAGAAAAAAAGGAACAGTTCCATTATTGGAGCATCCAGGTGAGGTGGAAGGGGATGCCACTTGGAGCGGTGAGAGATTCAGATGTGCTCCTGTGTCCCTAAAGATTCTTGTTAGCCAGGGAAACGTGCACTGGATACAACTTGTTACCCCTCGGAACCCTGTGAACAGTTACCTTCATGGAACTTTCCGGCCCAAGTCTGCTTTCTGGGTTTGCTGGAAGGAGACACTGGGACAAGAAGTGACTCCCTGACTAGTAAGGACTGGCCTCTGTGAAGACTGGCCAGCACGGGGTCACCTGCTGAATTGTCGAGCAGTGCGGTTATGCCTTCGCAAGCAGCGATCTCGTGGGCCTCTGTGAGATGGTTTGTAGGGCGTTGAGTTGCCCCTAAAACAAAGACTGGGCAGAACCAGCCCATCCACCCATCCCTCCTCCCAGTCCTCCTTCCTTCCTTTTTTCCATCCATCTATCCATCCGCTTATTTCTTCACATACTACACAAATATTTTTGACCCCTGTGCTTGTTGTGAAGAATGCATAGAAGAGGAAGACCCCTTCAGCTCTAACAAGTATGTAATTCCGAAAGGCCACCGCAAGGCGCGTTTTCTGATACCCTATGTACCTTTCCGTATAGCCTTTTGAACTGAGAAGTCTCCGTGGCAGAGCTGCAGAGTGAAGCCAAATTACCCCGCAGATGTTCAAGCACCATAGGTAGAAATGGTGCTAAGAGCTCAGCAAATCATTTAAAAGGCTTTTTCCCCCTTACCAGGGGTTTGCTAATAGCCTTTATTTGATTTATACCATATTAGCAATTTCTGAGTTTTCTCTTTTGCTGAGCTTGTGCTTTTGTGTAAATCTTTTGTATTTGGTTCTCATTTATGGTCCCACATTCCTGTCCAGAGAAGTGGTGTTTTTAATTTTCTTAGATGGAAAGCAACTTCCTAAGCAAGTGGGTGAATTAATCACAGAAGCCCACGGTGAGGGGGAGGTCACGCGGCCCAGCCAGGCCTCCGTCATCCATCAGCCACCGTGGAATTTCCCAGGCTGCTGCAGTACTGTCTCCAAGTGCTGCTTCTCTTACCTCTTAGCGTCCCCGGGAGAGCGTGGGCGTGGATTGCATGAGATCACGTGTCTCTGTAAATCGTAAATCACTCCACAAACGTGAGGTGGTATTGTTAGCATGTAGCTCACAGGGACGGCAGAGATACCAAAAAGCTACAGGCCTTTCTCAGAATCCCTTCTCCTTGTTGCTGGAAAGGACTTCGAGCACCTGCCACGATCACTCAGCAACGCGTCCACAGGTTCTGTGTGGACAGCTCGTTTCTAACGGGCCCGCATCCAAACACCTCCTCTGACCTCTTCCTCCCCACCAATGCAGGCACAGGTGGAAAATGACGAAAATATTAGTCAATTTAAATCTTAGCCCCTAAGGCCACTCAGAGGTGATTCAGTAACTGCTTTAACAATACTAAAGTCCCAGAATCAAAAAGAACCGAGTATTGTGGATGCTTTAAAGGGGGAAAGTATATCCCTTAATATACCTTGTTTGTTCTTTATGAAAGCATTCAAGAATCCTGACTCTGAGAACATTAACCAATTGCCTTCACTGACCGATCGAACCCAAGGCCCATGGATTCCAGGAGAGAGTAGAATCCTATTTCCACTTGGGTGTCGTGACTTCAGTTGCATTCTGCAGGAATGGTTGGAGGGGGTTTCCTTGCAGGTTGTCTCATTAATTACTGCAAGTCTTTGAGTGTGCGTGAGAGTGTGTGTTTTATGTCTTTGGGTAGTTAACATTTAAGACCTGTCTTGGAAATGACTTTGGCAAAAGCAGTATCTGGGGATTCGTGTGGGAGTTAAACTCAGTTGAGTCTATCCATTAACGAACTTCCTGGAGCCCTTGGTCTTACGAGGGTTGAGGACTAAATAGGCTGCATTTATAGGAGAAGGGAAAATGTGAATGATTTGAACACTTTTAGCAAAGACTATTTAGCATAATCGTAAATGTCACTTCCTAGAGTAAAAAAAAAAAAAACACACATACACACAGGCACTATTGGCATTCAAAAAATCGCTCTCACATGTTTCTCTATTTTTTGCAGAGAGTTTTCGGTTAAATGAGAGTGGAAATAACAGAACCACGTCATCAGGGTAGTCAGCTGAATCCGCAACACGTGTTAAGTGAGCTCCTGCCACATGCCATGCACTGTGATGGGTGTTGGGGACACAACCATGAGCAGGACAGACACCTTTCTTGCCCTCATGGAACTTGTGTTCTAGGGTGGAGAAAGAGAGTGGAGAAACAGCAAATAAAAAAATGAGGTGTTGGAAGGAGCCCTATGAAGGAAGCAAAGGGAGAAGAGGAAAAAGAGAACCGTGGGTTGGGGGCACCAAGGGGAAGTGGGGGTTGGAGGAAGACCAAAGAAAGGGGGAAAGAGAGGGGGTAGCGCGCCGGGTAGAGCACGGAAGGAGGGGAGCTCAGTGGAGGGCAGGGAGCACGGGGCTGGGCTGGGAGGCCGGGGTCTGGAGGGACGTGATGTAGACGCAGCTGGATAGAATTGAAGAGGTGCCGGGGCAGGAAGGTGGATTTTAGTCCCTAGAGCACAGGGACGTCATTGCAGGTTTTCAGGCAAGACAGTAATATGATCTGATTTCTCTTTTAAGATTTCTTTTTAAGGATATCATATAGTGTCTGATCTACTGTGGCTTGCCAAATTAAGAGCTTACTAGCTGTAAAATTTTTAAAAAGTGTGTGTGTGGGGTTTTCCTGTAAAAGAAAAGCACATGTAAGTTGCAGCTTTAGTGTAATCAATAGGTATCGGGAAACTGTGGAGTGGGAGGGCCCTTCTCTAGCACGCCGGCTGGTCTCTCACTCCACACACTCCCCTCTCCAGCCCCGTACACTGATGTAAAAGCTTCCTTTTTGTTTAAGATTTTTCACTTTTCTTTTCCTACAGGAAGCATGCTTTCCTTAAAGGACTATGTCAGGGAGCCACCAAAGAGCATTTTCACATTTGCTGAGATGAGGAGTTTGAGACCTGTTTTGGTTTTGTTTGGTCCGTGCTGGCCAACGGCTCCTAGCAAAGAACACGTCCCCATCCGCCACCCGGGAGTGGAGAACCGCGGGTCGAGTGCCAAGGATGATGTAGGATGAGAGAAGAAGCAAATGAGGGTTTCCTCCTGCTCTCCAGGGTGGGAATAATTCACATTAAACTGAAGTGTGCACTTGAGGAATAACATCTACACCTAGATCAAATAACCATGTTTAAGGAGAGAGCACGGCCACGCTGCCTCCCCGGCAGTTTGTATCGTGGCCTCGTCCAATTCCGTTTAATTTGATTTGGAAAACATTCATCAAATTCCCGATGCTGCTCAGCTGTCTGGATGCAGAACACATCTGCATGAGCCACAAGGTCTGGGTGGCCTCCACCCAGGTTCACCCTTCTCTAATGACAGCTGAAAACACGATGGCCCTGCCCCTAACTCAGGAGAGCCCACTGCAGGAAACAGGGTGAATAGATGAGCAATCTGGAGCAAAACCACTCACTTACTCAACCAGTATTTACTGTGTTCCCACCATGAGCAAGACCCTAGGGAGCAGGGTGGGGCCATAGAAACATCAGGAAGGATCCTTGACTTCAAGGATTTCACAGAGTAGTGGGATGACAGGCAAGTGAACCAGTGACTATAAACTGCACAGGACTCTGATAAGGGGTGCTTTGGGCTGGGGTGATTTGGGATTCAGGTGCTTTGAGATGGGGTGATTTGGGATTCAGGTGCTTTGAGATGGGGCGCTTTGGGACGGGGACGCTTTGGGACAGGGATGCTTTGGGACGGGGACGCTTTGGGACAGGGACGCTTTGGGACGGGGCACTTTGGGGCGGGGCGCTTTGGGATGGGGCGCTTTGGGACGGGGGTGCTTTGAGATTCGAGTGCTTTGGGCTGGGGTGATTTGGGATTCAGGTGCTTTGAGATAGGGTGCTTTTGGATTGGGGTGCTTTTGGATTGGGGTGCTTTGGGATGGGGGTGCTTTGGGACGGGGATGCTTTGGGATGGGGCGCTTTGAGATGGGGGTGCTTTGGGACGGGGGCGCTTTGGGACGGGAGTGCTTTGGGATGGGGCGCTTTGGGACGGGTGCTTTGGGACGGGGGCGCTTTGGGTGCCATGGGTCTCACCACAGGGCACTTCATCTAACCTGTCAGCACCATCCTGAGTGTCACAGCTTCTCACCTGTACGTTTTTCAGTGGGTGCCTCTCAATGAGAAATTTTTTTAACATAACCACGATACCATTTCACATCTTTTAAAAAGTGGCCAATAATTAATTGCTTGCAGGGAGCGAAGGTCGGAAGGGGCGGTGGGCAGGAAAGGCGCACCGCATGCCCTGGGCCAGAGGTCCGGCAGGACCTGTCATCGGGAATCGGAGGTTGGGCAGAG